ATATCCGGTGTTTCAGTTCTTTCCCATCCATCTGCCAGTCTCTTTTTTTCTTTTCTTTTCTTTTTTTTTTTTTTTAAGATTTTATTTATTTATTTGACATACAAAGATCACAAGTAGGCAGAGAGGCAGGCAGTGAGCGAGGGGGAAGCAGGCTCCCCGCTCAGCAGAGAGCCCGATGTGGGGCTCGATCCCAGTACCCTGAGACCATGACCTGAGCCAAGGCAGAGGCTTAACCCTCTGAGCCACCCAGACGCCCCTCTTTTTTTCTTGATAAAGAAGGCCAAGAATCCAAAAAAACAGGAAAGGATAAGGAAACCAAGTCCAAAAAATGTTTTCCCCCTTTTTAGTTATGCGATGCTCAGTCTAATGAGTACAATGTAGCAGCCTCCAGGGCATGGGGTGGATTCACGAGATACTGTCTATAAAAACATGTATGCCCTAAGAGCCATTCCGTAAATAAATACGTTCACTGATCCCTTCCTTCACTGAGAGGGTGAAGGACAGCTGAATCTGAGACCAACCAGGGAAATCTGACTTCTCTATTGGGTTCCCACTCTTAAGAACACAAGTGCTTTTGATATGGAAAATGTCCCACCCAATAAGAGAAGCATTTTGCCCTTAGAATTTCTTATCCTTGCTGGAGCTGGTGGACTCCCCCTTCCTAAGCATGTCTGTAGGTGTGGCAGGAGACACCTGCCAAATTAAGTGAGAGTCAACAAGTCCCCTCCCCTCCCCTGGGCCTCCTGGATCTCCTGGAGAACACAGGATCACCATCATCTACCGGGCAACCTCACGGGGTTGGCTGTTGAGGGAAAACAGTCACACGACTCTACAGATCTCAGAACGTGCTCCCTGGACCCCAGCAGAGGCATTACAGGAGAAGGCAGCGTAAATGCAAACCACTGGACCCCACCCCAGTCCTGTGGAATTAAAGAAATGTGTTTTAAGAAGCCATCCACGTGGTTCTGATGCAAGCTAAAATTTGAGAACCACTGCTCTAATGAAGTACTTTGCACTTTTTTTTTTTTTTTTTTTTAATTAGCACACCTTTCTCTCCAACAGGGAGTCATTTGACTCCCTCCTTTCCATCTCTGCCCAGGCAGATATGCTGTCAAATGTGCAGTTCCTTCTAACAAACGCAGTCTTTCAAACTGGGTGAGGCCTCGCTTTGTAGATTTATTTGCACACTGACTAAAGCTCTTGCAATCCATCTGACACAGACTGAAGTTCTTGCCAAACCTCGCTGTGGGGAGTGACATTGTAAATAAAGGCCTTCAGCTATCTCATTTTCCTGAGCCAGTGGATTGTGTGCAAAATGCTTTTGTTTGCAGGAAGCATACCTCATACAGCTCAACCCAAGGTGCAAGTAGCACAGGGCACCTCTACCTGAGTGATAAATAAATGGAATGGAGTTTCTAGCCCATTCCAAAGTCCTGCTTTTGGAGAGTGATACTCAGTACACACAGGAGGAAAAAATGATCAGCATAGCAGATAGTGCTCGTTAATGGTCACCATTGACAAAATCCTATTGAATTTGATTATTTGCTTGTGAAAATTAGTGAGAGAAACATGGTTGGACAAAAAATGAGCAATCTGCAGGGTTTTCAGGGGTGGCGCCAAATTTAATTTCCGTAGTGCCAGAAAGTACACTAAATATTTTCCCTTTACCAGTGGTTTGCCGTGGGTTTGTTTTGGGCCGCGCAGTAGTTTTCTTTTGGAGGATGCCAGAGGAAACTACATGCAGCAATTCTGTCTTGCCAGAGCCAGACTGGGAATTTGAGAGGGGAGTTTCTCCATCCTTCCCATCCCTTTGCTCAAGGAAGAGCTTGGACTTCCCAAGCTCTGGAACACCAGGAGGAGACACAGAAGCCAGGGGGTGGAAGAACTAAGAGAAGTGGTGAAGAACCAACTCATTCCCCATCCTCAGAGCAGGCCAGATCACCTACCACGTGACGTGCGGATGATGGGGGGAGGTTGTTACTTAATATTGGCTGATTTGGTTTCGTAATGGTGCATTTCACTCGGTAAGTTTTTAAGTCGTCCACCAAACCGTTGACCGCCTCCTGAGGAGCTATTTTTAATACATTGTGTATACATGGAATTGCTGAATGCTGGTAGAAGGACGTATTTTCTGCAGCAGTGATCTGTTGGCTTGAATTATAAAAGGCAACACAAGATACCCAGTCAGGAAAGATAGAGCTGTGTTCTTAAAGAGTAGTCACTGCCTCTGTTGACGTAAGAATTCCAAGTCTTTAGGACGGACCTCAGGGTGCCAGGGTATTTACTGAGCTCCCGGTCCCAAAGAGGTCTCCAGTCACAGCCGACTCTGCTTTGCCCTGCCCTGACATGTTGGGACGCCTTTATCTCCAGTCTCAAAACAGGATGGAACTTCTCCAATCCAGTCTGCAGGTGTGGACCTTGCCCCAGTTGGGGTAAGCAGGGTCCTTCTCTGGCGACTTCAAAACGGAGCCAAGTGAGTCAGTCAAGGATGGATGCAAAGGGAGGTTGTGTAAGTTAAGGTGCTGTGGGAATCTTTAAACTTTGTGAAGCTAAGGGACAAATCTGCAGAAGAAAACTAAGGCAGAGATAAGAGGACACTGAACATAGAGAGATGAGAATCCCTTACCGGTCACTTTTCAGTGGCTGGTCCCATTTCCTCTTAAGACCCTACAGTTCTGTTGGGCTTCTTGAGAGAACACCACACCTATGTAAGAATCTGCCTTTTTTTTCCCCTCTGAAATCAAACTATCTTAAATAACATTTTCCCCCCTTGCCACCTTCTTTCCTTGATTAAGGTAGTTGGGGGCCTCCAGGTTTGGTCTCACTCTGCAAGCTGGTAGTGTGGCTCTGCCTCTCGAAATGGAAGAGAGGCCAGGAAAATCTGGATCGTTCCCTTGGGAGCCTGCGGGCCAGATGATGGACTCCCCACTATGTGTTCATATTGCTTATTGTTATGGAGGGCCAAGTTCTTCGCCCTCACCCTTGTTGAATTGCAGTCCTGCGATGAGGATTCTGAGAGGTTCTAGAATTCACTCAGGAACACAGAGATGGGAAGTGACAGAGCTGTGAATGGGGGTTCACAAACAGCTGCCCAAGGGGCAAGGAAGGTTCCAACCAGGCTCAGCCTTGGCCGGTGTCAGCAAAGACTGGGCTCAAGGTGCCAGGTCACAGGGGCTCTCAGGGATGTCCATGCTCTGGGCGGCAAAGAGGGGTGTGTGAGTCCCGAAGGGCGAGTCAGGAGAGGGTCCATTGTACTCAGATTGGACTCTCCTGTCAAGCAACTCCAGTGATTTTCCTTTCTTAGTAGCATCCGTCCCTAAGGTTCTGTCACTAGCGTGAGAATGACAAAGGGACATTGCAGCAAGGCTTTGCTACCAGCGGTCTCTCAGCTTGGGGTGTGAGACCCATTCCTCAAGACACAGGGCTTAGCTTTCTGCCTGCACTTACTTAAGGCTGTGGTGTGTGATGCATAGATCGCTCTGAGCACAGAGTGGGGTGCTGGTCTCTGACGGGCCCACGGCCAGCTCCTCCTCCCAAACTAACTCACGATCTGGGCTTTCATTTCTTCTCAGAGAGAGTGCTGGTAACCTGTGGGCTGCTTTCAAAACCTGGAGCCCTTCCTTCCCATCCCAGGATGCGGTTCCCCACCAGATGCCTCTAGGGAGGGGTTGCATGGCCCTGGCCCTGTCTTGAGAAAGCCAGCTAGTCTATGAGCAGTCTGTTTACGGTTGCCTTCGGGCTTTGCTTGAGACAGGAATATGCACATGATGGTGAATGGTTACAGTCGTGTGTTACGAAAACAAAGATGGCTTCTGCATCTTCCTGAAGGCCTTGTCATTGCCAAGCCTTTCCCTCCTCCCACCTTTTAAGAGTTATGATCTCCTTTCTGGAGATAAAAGTAGACAGAGCTTTCATAGCTCTTTGCCCCAGAATTCCCCAAACATGTATTCATGTCCAGGGCTCCCTCAACTCAAGGGAATTAGACCAAGTTTGCGGAGTGGAACAAATAGAATGAATTTAGAGCCTCAAGTCTTCTGTCTTCTGTGTCTTGTTGAATGAATGCCTTGTTTCGCAAGAGCTGGTCATGATGCTAAGAGATAGTTGGAAAGAATTTTCCATGATGTCATCTGAACTTGTGGGATTTTTTTTTTTTTTTTTTTTGCCCCTCCTGTGTAATAGCATACCTTCTGTTTTGGCCAGTTTTTCCTGACCCAAGTTTTGCATACAGCTGGATAACAGAATGTCTGTTTTCTTCTCTTAGGCAAAATTAGATGCCTTCCCAAGTCTTTGTTAGAGCTGAATAAGCCCCAGAAAGGACAAGAATATGTCCTAACAGCCGTAAACAGGAGCATTCTGGGATGTGCAGAAATATCCGCCAATGACCATTTGTAATTACGTACTCAGTATCCCAGATGTAGTGACTCTCTTTTCAGACAGTTGGAAACTGCTACCTGTCCTTACAGAGCACTCAAAACCTAGAGGGCTTTTAGTGTAGGTGGAGGCCAAGGGACCCAGCAGCTCAGCGAGTGCCAGAGCCTGGCTCTGACTTCAGTGTGAGGCAGGCACTGACACATCCCTTTGGCTAGGGAGGCACGGCGCATGCCGGAGACTCACAGAGAAAATGGTAAAGTTGCTCTCTCTCTCATTCTCTGTCTCTCTCTCTCTCTCTCTCTCTGGCTCTCTCAGGGCGGGGAGCCTGCCGACAAAACTCTACCCTCTGGGTCCCCCCGCCCCCACCCGCCTATCTGCCGAATTCTCTTTTTCTAGGAAAGTGTACTAGCTTTATTTTTCCCTAGCAAGACAGGGGAAAGCCCCAAGATATGGGTGATTGGCTCCACTCTTTCTTCAAGGATGAATTTGTCTGCTTGCAGTGAGAAAGGCAGATGCTGTTAAGTTGCAGGAGGGTGGAAACGACAGGAAGTCGAATGTGTCCTGCTGCCGGAATCCTCTTCCCGGGGGAAGTGGGGATGGGCAGTGACCCATGTGCTTGCATCCTACAGGTTCATCAGTACTACAGCTGTCTCCCAGAAGAGAAGGTTCCCTATGTCAACAGCCCCGGAGAGAAGCTTCGAATCAAGCAGCTACTACACCAGCTGCCGCCGCATGACAATGAGGTAAGGAGGAGCTCCCGGGGGGCCTTAGCAAGACTTGTTTTAGGAGGTTCTGTGAATTGTTCACCTTCTCCATAATCAGCATGCTGTGATCAGTGAGGTCTCCGAAGAAAAACTCCGGCCCATTTTAGGTTTTAGCTTCCTTAATGAGAGCCAAAAGACACGGCCCGACACTTTTCAGAAAGCAGATCTCATTTATGGACTGGATTCATCTCCGAGCCCAGCACAACTAGCCGTTTGGGGCATCCAGGGAGCCCTAAAAGTTAAAAGCTCAAGCCCAGTTTTTCCTAGTTGAAGAAGAATGTGCTGGTTGCCCAAGTCCCTCAGCTGATTGCGATTCCCCGGGCCAGTCCAAGGTCAAGCCTTGCAAAAACATGATTCCCTGGCATTCTCAGCATCGTTTCATGTTAAGTAAGTGGGCAAGTCTTCCACGTTATGCTGTGGTAGAAGTCACATATCCAGCTTTGCAGCTCTGAACATCTGCGTTTTTGTCGTTGAAAGACCAGCTTTGCTTGCTCACCATTTGTACACCTGGAAGGCTGGCTTGCAGGCTGTCCTTTTTTCCTGAACCCCGATAGAAGACTGCTGTAATGAGGCGTTTCTTATCTTTGAAGTCGAATTGCTCATAAAGGGAAAATCCATGCATACATTTTTGAAAAGATCATCTTGCTTGAAGGGCTTAGGTTTGGACACTGGAAATGAATTTTTGAAATATCTGGTTTTTTTAAACAGTCATCCCCTAGAATGGCATTGTCCACTTAGCTGATTGCATTTTAAACGATTTTAAATTGAAAGGAGAAATAACTCCTCCAGGGAACTAGAGCCCAGCTTTCTACCGACTGCTCCCACCCTCAAGCCGGATCTCCGGGGAAATTGAGTAGGTGCTATTTTAGTCTTTATTTGCCTGTATTTGGATCAAAAGGGATAATTTGGCAGCCTCAAAAATAAATTTGAGTCAGTGAAGCAAAAGCTTAAAAACTAAAGCAAGTCCCTAGAAAGAGAGCCACAATTTCCTGTCGCCCATTTCCAACTTCATAAAACAAATACAAACAATGTTTTCCCCTTTAAAGCCGAGAGCAAGCCCTGTAACCGGATGCCCAGTTAACTAATTTGGAAGTGAAAATGCGGGTTTTTACAAGCAGGAGGGGAGTGCCTTTCTTTAAGAGCACATCCATAAAACGTCAGTGGTGTAATCCGATGTTCCGAGCTAGTTCGGTCACAGTGGTGCTCCGTGCTCGCGGGGACATCCACAGGACGACTTCCTTTTAACACTTGTTTGCTTGCTGGAGCAAGGGGATCTGTGCTCTGCTCTTAACGATTTCCAGTTAACTGTGGGTTTATGAAAAGAGACCAAACTCCTTCTTCCTGCTGGAGAGGATTCCTTCCATGTGACCCAGTGGGAAGATTTCGCCCACTTGACCTGGCCCTTTTGAGGACAAAGAGTGATGATTCTAAAGTCAGTATCTGATCATTCGCTCTTTGCCCAGAGGAAGCAGTTGAGACGGATCTAGCTGCCTCGGTTTCCCAGTTAGGAAGCAGTAGTCCTGGTCTACAGACTTGCCAACGCCCATCACATCACAAGCCGTCTGAGCTTTTCACCTAACCTTTCTGCTGTTACTCCAGAGAAGGACAGGAAGTGAGATGAGGTCTGTGTTTCCCAAAGGGTGGCAGACACAGGACTTGGGGTGTTGCGTAGACATGGCAGTTAGTGAAAGTGAGCCACATAATAAGAGAATCACTCCCTTTTAAATTGTGCTTCATTCCTCCAGATGGAATGGTAGGATCCGCCCCAGGGGCAGGGAGGTGGGATTTGGGCTACCCAATTTCCTCCTATCTCTCTAACTCATACCAGTCTCCACTTTTAGGTAACTGCCTTAAGAATCTCCATTTCAGGAGGCGCCTGGGTGGCTCAGTGGGTTAAGCCTCTGCCTTCAGCTCAGGTCATGATCTCAGGGTCCTGGGATCAAGCCCCGCATGGGGCTCTCTGCTCAACAGGGAGCCTGCTTCCTCCTCTCTCTCTGCCTGCCTCCCTGCCTACTTGTGATCTCTCTCTGTCAAATAATTAAATAAAATAAAATCTTAAAAAAAAAAAGAAAAGAAAAGAAAAGAATCTCCGTTTCAGGATCTCCCCTGAGCGGAAGTTGCTAGAATCTAACAACATGAGTTCATTCTCACATTGTCTCATTTTAGGGTCACCTTCTGGTTCTTACAGGTGATACTGATTTTTAATGTATAGTCACAATATACTTTCTTTTTAAGTAAATGTGTTCAAGTTTTAAAAAGTGAGACCATTTTAAAAACGGTATTAATGGTTCAAGACTATGGCAGAATTCCCATGGTATGTATTAATCAGGGGGAAGACCGGGAAATCTTGGATTTGAGTGTCCGTAGTGCCCTGCCCTTAATGCTGGGAGTTTTCATGTTTAACAAGAGGGCAAATATCTCACGCAAGTAGACGGATCAGCCACAGACCAGTGGGCAGCCCTTTCCCTCCCGTGCACAGATAAACACACAGGGACTTCCGTGAAGCGGGACACGTACCTCTGGACCAACTCCTTTGCCTCAAGCCTTCAGTTCCCCATTTTCCCAAAACGAGGTGGGAGAAGCAGCTGGGAGCCCTCTGACCGCTGTTCCTGCTCGCTGGCCTGGAGCCATCCTTCCGTGTCAGGGATCACTCACATGGACGCAGGGAGGTGAACGTATCAGGACCCCACAATCCGTCTGAAGATCCACATCATTTTTTTAAAGTAGGAAGAAGTCCCAGATCTTGACTAGCCCCAGAGCTTCCCGACATGATGGGGACCTTCGTGGGGCAGGAGGGCAGGGTAGCAAGGCTGCGGGACAGTTTCAGAACCTTGAGCCCGCTCGTGACTCGGGCTCCGGACTTGGGCACCTTTGGTCAGCTCTTTCGGCTTCAGTAGAAACTCACGTTCTCCAGCCCCGAGCCCGCCGGTGGGCTGGTGCAGGCCGGCGCTGTAAAGCCGACTGCGAGCACATGTCATGAGAAGTCTGGGGCGCGGGCTGCAGAAGTCCCACAGGGCAGGGGCGACGTCCCCCGTGACCCTCTCTATGTCTGTCCAGGTTCGATACTGCAACTCGCTGGATGAGGAAGAGAAGAGGGAGCTGAAGCTCTTCAGCAACCAGAGGAAACGCGAAAACTTGGGCCGCGGGAATGTCAGGCCCTTCCCCGTCACGATGACGGGGGCCATCTGTGAACAGGTGAGCGTGGAGTCCGGGGTGCGGGGTGGGATCGCGCTGGTGTCGCGTCACGCACGGCCATTCCATCAACAGCTGTGTCCTGCAGCGCCTACCGGGGGGCGGGACCCCATTCTCACTCTGGGCGATACAGCGGTGAACAAAAGATGTGAAAGCTGTTGAAAGATTTTGATTGTCCTCGTAAGGAGGTCCTTTCTAGGGGAAGAAGTCAAACAGTAAAATAAAGAGGAAAAAATACAGCAGAGAAGGAGGCTGCAAACCCTGGGGGGTGTGGGGAGCTTGCGGTTTTCAGGAAAGTGGCCAGGCAAGGCTGCACTTCGATGGTGGGGTCTCTGGGGGTGCCTGGGGGCTCAGTGGGTTAAGCGTGTGCCTTCAGCTCAGGTCATGATCTCAGGGTCCTAGGATGGAATCCTGCATCAGGGGGAGGCAGGGGGGTGTCCCTGCTCAGCGGGGAGTCTGTTTCTCCCTCTCTCTCTGCCCCTCCCCACCTCGTGCTCCCTCTCGCTTGCGTTCACTCTCAAATAAATAAATGAATGAAATCTTAAAAAAAAGAAGAAGGTGGCCTCTGAGCAAAGGCTTCAGGGACGGAGGGAGTGGGTCCTGCAGATCTCAGAGGGCGGAGGGAACAGGCCGCTCAAAGGCTCGGAGGCCGAAGCCTTTCTGTTGTGTTCCGGGACCAACACATGGGCCATTGTGGCGCAGAAGAGAGTGGAGGGATGGAGGGAGGCCATGAAAGCAGAGTGCGTGGAGGGCCGGTTGTGTTCGCCACTGGAAGGAGATGGGAAGCCGTCTGAGGGATTTAAGCACAGGAAAGACATGATGGATTTATGGCCTAAAATGAGTCCTTTAAATTTGAGAGGCAGGGCGGGGGGGCTCGTGAGGGGTAGGGAGGGAAAAAATGAAACAAGATGAGACCAGGGAGGGAGACAAACTGTAAGAGATTCTTAATCTCAGGAAATAAACTGAGGGTTGCTGGGGGGTGGGGGGTAGGGATAGGGTGGTTGGGTTATGGACTTTGGGGAGGGTATGTGCTACCGTGATTGCTAAGAAGTGTGTAAACCTGGCGATTCACAGACCTGTACCCCTGGGTTAAATAATACAGTATATGTTCATTAAAAGGAAATAAATAATGAGCCCTTTAGAAAATGAAATTTGCCTGGACCATGACATCCACCCGGGGCCACTTAAAGAAGTGGGAAAGGGTCATCCTGGGTTTGAGGGTTCTTTAGGGAAATGCATGCATTCCCCCTTGCATCCTCCCCAGGGCCTCACTGAGCTGGGTCTGGGGGTGGTTTTTCCTGCTGCTCTCCTGCAGAGCACTCAGGGCCCAGGGGCGGAGGGTTTTAAAGGAAGGTGGACAGGCAGCCTGCCTGGGTTCTCCCTGCCCCTCCTCTCAGCCATCACTCTGGCCCTGCTCTTGGCTTTGCTGCTCTTTGAAAGGCCTATTCCAGCTCCTGAAGCTCTCCAGGAAACCCCTCAGGTGCGGACCACAAGGGAGCTGCCTCAGTGAGAAGTAGAGCTACTCCCTGCGGAGAGTGGGTGCCGTTCCATGGCCCCTCTTTGAGATTTCAGAGACATTGGAGGGGGATGGAGATGCTCCTTAGGAGGGGGAGCACAGGACCAGAGGCTGGGAAGTGGGGTCTTCACCCCTGATACTCACCCTTGAGATGTAGGTGGTCAGTGGTTGAGATGCGAGATTCAGGAAACAGAGAAAAGGAGGGGGACGCCTGGGTGGCTCAGTCGGTTGGGCAGCCGATTCTTTATTTCAGTTCAGGTCATGACCTCAGGCTCCTGGGATCGAGCCCCACATCAGGCTCTACACTCACTGGGAGTCGGCTTGAGGATCGTCTCTCCCTCTGCCTCTGTCCCTCACCCGCCCACATTCTCAATCTCTCTCTCAAAATAAATAAATAAATATTTTTTAAAAATGGGCCGCCTGGTGGCTCAGTTGGTTAAGTGTCCAACTCTTGGTTTCAGCTCAGATGTGATCTCAGGGTTGTGAGATCGAGCCTGGCGTTGGGCTCCCTGCTCAGTGAGAAATCTGCTTGAGTTTCTCTTTCCCTTTGCCTCTGTCCTTACCTCCCCGCCCCACTCTCTCTCTCTAAAATAATTAAGTAAATCCTTTAAAAAATACTTAACAGCAGTTTAAAAAATAAGTTAAAATTTAAAAAAAAAAAAAAAACAAGAAAAGAAAAGAAAATATGTGAGATTCGGTGTCCTCATATCAGGAATTCTGCCCTTCTGAGATCAGTCCCCCAGAACCAGCCCAGCTGCACTCTCTTAAGGACAAAGGAAGGTTGGACATTTCATGTGCAGGTATCAAAAGTTGTGTAGAATAGTGACAAGAGCACGGAGGCAGAGAAGCTTGATTCATGTTTCTGCCAGACGACCTTGCCCCTGTTATTTTTCCTCCATTTTGTCATCTGCAAAATGCTTCCATCATGGAATTAAGGTGAGGATTCCCTTACCTTATTCTGTATTCTGTATCGTTAAAGCAATTGAACAAGGAGGCCTTGACACTGAGATGTCTCTGATACCTTCATTACCTATGTGAGCAAACCAAAACCGAAGCCAAAGGCAGTGTCTTAGTATTGAGAAAATAACACTGAGGACTAACCAATCACCAACAGGCAACTAAGTTTTCTCAAATAAGGCAACCACTTAAGCTGCAGCCGGTCAAATAATTACCTTGCTTTGCCCCCTGCCCCCCCCCCGTCTTCTCTCTAAGCACCTCCCTCCTAGCTCCAGATAGGTGAAGGCCTCCTAACCACCTTCATTTGGGCAGTGCCCAACTTAAATCTGTATTTGCTCAAATAAACCCTTGAAATTTTTAATGTGTTTCAGTTCATCTATTACCACTGCACCTATCCCAGGTCTACTAATGTTCTCAAAGGAAAGGGTAGTACTTTGTGTTAACAGTGTCTTTCTTTTGTCTGGTCACTACCTGAATGAGCTCCCAGAGACCGTTCCATGAGACCTTGACTCCATTTCCTATGAATCATTTAATCCCATATGATGGCTGTGGTGTGGGGAAGGTTTGAAGGTATCTTTTCTACCCTTTAGACATTGTCCCCGAAGCCAGCCACTCACGTAGGGCCGAGTAACTAGATTCTCAGCCGGCGAACCTCATGGCCAAGCAGAGAGCCTTAAAATAAATAAATGAATAGATAGATAGATAGATAGATATTTATTTATTTATTTAAATACACCATGGTCTGCAGAGAGCCTTTCCCTGGACCCACCATCTCACACTTTACTCCTCCCTCCGAGGCCCAACCTCAGCTATAACGTGGGTTATCAGAGATGCTGCCTTGTTCCTTTCTGTTTTGGGAGAGGAACTTGGAACATGAGAGAGATGACAGGAAAGGGGGAGAGAAGCCCCTTCCCTAGCGTGGCCTTAGAAGTGGTACCTTTTCAGTCAAGACTAGGCAAAAAGATGTTAGAGAAAGCAGACTGCAAACATGCCTGAAAAGCTTTGGGGAAATCGTTAAGGTACTTTTATGAGCACACTCCCTCTCCCATCTTTTTTTTTTCTTTTTCTTTTTCTTTTTTAATTAACGTATAATGTATTATTTGGCCCAGGGGTACAGGTCTGTGAATCATCAGTCTTACACACTTCACAGCACTCACCATAGCACATACCCTCCCCAATGTCCATAACCCAGCCCACCCCATCCCTACCCCCCCAATCCCCAGCAACTCTCAGTTTCTTTCCTGAGATTTAGAGTCTCTTATGGTTTGTTTCCCTCCCAATCCCATCTTATTTCATTTTTTCCCTCCCTTCCTCCCATGACCCCCCCCGCCTCTCAAATTCCTCATATCAGAGAGATCATATGATAATTGTCTTTCTCTGACTGACTTATTTCACTTAGCATAATACCCTCTAGTTCCATCCATATTGTTGCAAATGGCAAGATTTCATTTCTTTTGATGGCTGCATAGTATCCTGTTGCATATATCAATCACATGTTCTTTATTCTTTTTTTTAAAGATTTTATTTGTTTATTTGACAGAGAGAGAGAGTGTGAGCATAAGCAGGGGAGGGGCAGAGGCAGAGGGAGGAGAAACAGACTTCTGCTGAGCAGGGAACCCGATGTGGGACTCGATCCCAGGACCTTGTGATCATGACCTGAGCTGAAGGCAGACGCTTAACTCACTGAGCCACCCAGGCATCCCTCCCTCTCCCATCTTCTTTTTTTTTTTTTTTAAGATTTTATTTATTTGACGGAGAGAGAGCACAAGCAGGGGGAGGGGCAGAAGCAGAGGAAGAAGGAGAAGCAGACTTAATGCTGGGCAGGGAGCCCAATGCGGGATTCGATCCCAGGACCCTGGGTCATGACCTGAGCTGAAGACAGCTGCTTAACAGACTGAGCCACCCAGAAGCCCCTCCCTCTCCCATGGTACAGCACCCTTCTTGCAACCCTCCCCTCCACCACCATCCTCCCCACTCCTCCTGGTGTTAAACGTGGGCTGTGCCCTGGGATGGAGTTGGGAGCTTCTAGAAGATATGGACACCTTCAGCCCCGGTCGGTTTGCCCCCTGCCTGTAGAGCTCCAGTGTGTCATGATGCTAAAGGGGCTTTTCTGAATTTCCCACCTTGTGAGTCCTGATTTTCCCAGCGACTTTTTCTTTGTCTTCCTTGGAAGGAAGAAGAGTGGGAGGGAGGGCAAGCAAAACCTGCCCTGCCATGTACCTAAGGCAGGGAGCACAGTGACCAGCTTGAAAACAAGCGCCCAGCCACCTGCCCTCGATGGGAGCGGTGGTCTCTTATCTTCTACGCGTGACCCTGGAGAGGCAGAGACGGGGCTGGTGTCTGGACTGACCTGTCTGCTTGTCTCGCAGTGCGGAGGCCAGATTAATGGCGGGGACATCGCCGTGTTTGCGTCGCGCGCCGGCCACGGTGTCTGCTGGCACCCGCCGTGTTTCATCTGCACCGTCTGCAACGAGCTGCTGGTGGATCTGATCTACTTTTACCAAGACGGGAAGATCTACTGTGGCCGGCACCACGCTGAGTGCCTGAAGCCACGCTGCGCAGCCTGCGACGAGGTCAGAGCACGCTGCGGGTCGGGTGGGGTGGGAGGGGCCAGCCCCGCCCATCGCCCCTCCGTGTGGCCATGGGCCTCACTTGGTCCTGTGCTCTTCTGCCCGGAGGGAAACCACAGGCCGCTCCGTCTTCCTATATTAAGCCTCGCGGGAGAAGCCCCAGCCCTCCCTGCCGGCTGGCCCATCTGGAAGTGGACAAGTCCTGGGCATCCAGGCCAGAAGGCAGTGTCTGTAGCTGAGAGTCGCTGGCACTAGGGCAGTTCTGAACTGTCAAAGAGAGGCATTGGGCCGCTTTAGATTTCAGCCGGGAGTAATCATCAGTCATGGTGTGGCCCTGAACTCTTAAAATAGTTGGGATTCCTGAGCTCCAGTGGGACAAAGTGTTTTGAGAAGAGGAACATTTGGTGTCACAATTTAGTGTCCCCATGGGGACATTCTGATGGGGATGCAGGAGGCAGGTGGATACTCCCTTAGGAGAGAGCCCTGCTCTGAGAGGTCCTTGAGTTTGCTACCCCAGGTCACAAAGCGGACTAGAACCCCCAAGCCTGTGCCTGGTGTTTTCTCCCACAAGGAGCACACCCAGATATGATCTGTAAGCTACAAGAAGAGAATAGCTGTTTTGGCTTCAAAAGTTTGGAGCTTATATTCCTGTAAAAAGTAAAAAAAAAAAAAAAAAAAAAAGTTGGAGGAGAAAGAATATTCTAAACCTGACCACTTTTATGGGAATAATTTGGGAAGGATGTTGGATAGGGGTTTCCTTCTGCAGAGTGGATTTCTGGTTCCATCTGACCCTGCAAACGGTGGTGTGGGCTTCTGCAAAGCGGCACTCCCCTTTCTCAGCCACAGCCCACTCCTGCCTGCCTAGGGAGGGTTTGCTTTTTTAGGAGGAAGTTGGCCAGCCTTAACTAATTTGGATTCTAATGCTGTTGGTGATGTTTTGGAGAGACCTTCTAGATGGGTATTTGGGAAACCGAATTCAGTTCCACCAGGATTCAAGCAGCCACTTTACCTTCCTGCCTCAGTTTCTACTTCTGGAAATTAGTGCTCCTAATACTTTATTGTTATCTAATGGCAAATAGAATATGATGATTGAGGTGTTTTGAAACTTTTGTTCCTTGACATATAATTAACCTAGCATAAGATTCACCTTTCTTAGGTATCCAATTTGGTGGGTTTTAGTATATTCATAAAGTTGTGCAACTCTCCCTGCTGGCTAATCCCAGGATCTTTTCATCACCCCAAAAGAAACTTTGTATCTATTAGCAGTCCCTTCCCTTCTCCCCGCTTCTCCAGCCCCTGGCAGCCACTAATCTGTTCTCTGTCTCTATGAATTTACATTTTCTAGGCCTTTTACATAAGTGGAATCAGACAATGTGTGATCTTTTCTGGAAGTGGTCTTTCACGTGGTGTAATGTTTTCGGGGTTAATCCACACTGTAGTGTATATGTATATTATTCCTTCCCAAGGCTGAGTAATATTCAGTCACGTATATAGGTCATGTTAGGTAGAGGCAGTTAATGGACATTTAAGTTCTTTCCACTTTTTGAAGATTATGATCAGTGCTGCTATGAACGTTCATATGCAGGTTTTTGTGTGGACATATATTTTCTGTTTCCTTGAGTATATACGTGGGCATGGAATTGCTGGGTCACGTGGTAATTCTGTGCCCAAGTTGAGGGAATGCAGACTTTCTTTCAGAGAAGCTATGGTAGTGGGTGCAAAGTGGTATCACGTTATGGTTCTTTTTGTTTGTTTGTTTGCTTTAAATTTTATTTAATTTTATTTTCAGTGTTCCAAAATTCATAGTTTATGCATCACACCCAGTGCTCCATGCAATACGTGCCCTCCATAATACCCACCACATTATGGTTTTGATACATCTGTCCCTGATGGGTAATAACGTTGAGCATCTTTTCATGTGTTTATTGGCCGTGTGTATCTTCTTTTTTTTGGAGAACTGTGTATTCCAATCCTCCGCTGGTTTTTTGTTTGTTTGTTTTGTTTTAATTGAGCAATTTTTCTTTCTATTCTGGAGTTGCTTGCATATTCTGGATACTAGTTCAGATACTAGTTCAGATAGGATCCTAGTTGTCAGATACACGCTTTGCAACTATTTTCTCTCATTTTGTGGTTACAGTTTCATTTTCTTGATGTTCTTTGAAGCACAGAAGTGTTTAGTTCCGATGAGGTCCAATTTACCTTTTTTTTTTTCTTTTGTTGTTTACACTTGCAATGGCATAGCTGAGGAAACTATCGCCTAATCCAGGTCCTGAAAATTTACACTTGTGTTTTCTTGTAAGCATTATAGTTTATGGCTCCTTTGGTCTCTGATCTCTTTTGAATGAATTTTTGTATATGACTCGGATTCGTTCTTCTGCATGTGGTGACCCAGCTGTCCCAGCCACATTTGTTGAAAAGACCATTCCTTCCCCCACTGGATGTCCTTGGCATCTCTGTTGATAAGCAGTTGGCCATAAATGTTTGGGTTTGTTTCTGGACTTTCAGTTCTCTTCTATTGATCTATATGTCAGTTCTTATACCAGGACCACACTGCCTGGATTACTACAGTTTATAGTCAGCTTTGAAGTCCGTGCTTTGAAACTTAAAAAGTCTATATTAGAGGTCAAAACACAAATGCTTCCTAGGGCAAGGCAGGTTGTGTACACAAAGGTGACTTATTTTAAGACAGCAGTGAGTGGTGAAAGGACCAAACTGGAGAACTGACTACTCATCTAGAAGCAGGAGTCCTCCTTCTCAAATACTTTGTTTTCAACAAAGAAACCAGGAGCCTAAGTATTAAAATGACATTTCCTATTTTTAAAAAGATGTTGCATCAGCCAAAGAAGACGTGGACATGCTGTCCAAAGTGCCCACGAGCCATTGGTGTCTGGTCTTGCTTTTTATTCTTCAGGGTAGAACTTTATCTCTCATTAAAATGTGGTTCAGTTAGTATCTGGCCAGACCAAAAACTGTGGTTAATTGTGCTTTAGGCAAATCCCAGTGCGCTCACTGATAGAGCTGTAGGACAGGGCATATACAGATAGATTTTTCAATTGAGTAAATTGTGGCAAAGTCTTGCTTTCCCATCCTTCTAGTTTGGGGTCCCCGTAAGCTCTTCTCCATTAAAGTGCATTCTCCTGGCTGGGTGTTAACCACTGATCCTTTGGCTTCCCCATCTCTAGATCATTTTTGCAGACGAATGCACAGAAGCTGAGGGGCGGCACTGGCACATGAAACACTTCTGCTGCTTCGAGTGCGAGACGGTGCTTGGCGGCCAGCGCTACATCATGAAGGAGGGAAGGCCCTACTGTTGCCACTGCTTCGAGTCCTTGTATGCAGAATATTGCGACACCTGTGCCCAGCACATAGGTGAGGCGATGTTTGGTGCTTAGCTTAGTCCTACTGTGACTGGGTCTCCTGGGTGTCTGGTGTAGTTAGAAGCCCTTTGGCTCTCAACTCATACTGGCTTAAGTGGAAAAAAAAAAAAAAAAAAGGGAATTTCTTGGCTCACGTTTCCGGGAAGGCCAAGGAGTGGGCTTGCTTCAGGTACGGATGGCTCAAGGGTTTAAAGTCTGGAGGTCTTTTTATCCTTTGTATCTCAGCACTGCTTGCCTTCTGTTGGCGTTGGTAAAAAGCAAGCTGCCTTCGCATGCTGGCTAAGAGGACTGCCCAATTATACAGAGCCTTAGCACTTGCATTCTCAAAAGGAGTGGGGCCACGTCTGTCCGAGTATCCAAATCAGCTCCTCCAAATACGAACATTAGCATCCCTGGTTTGGTCACGGGTTTCACCTTAGAAACAAGAGAAGAGGGTATTTCGGTTGGTCTGCCTGAGTCATGGGCCCACCCCCGATATGGGGTTATGTGATGTACAGCTCCCCTACCCGGGGGAGGGGGAGAGGTCCCAGAAGGAAACTCCGAGGGAAAATGTAAACAGATGTCTTCCACAGTCTCCTTGGAAAACTTGAGGATCAGCAGAGGGAGGAACCAGCATAGTCCTCTCGGTAGGAAGGGGTTGTCAAGAAAACCAAATGGTTTCTGGCAAGCACATCCTTAAAAAAATCAGCTAACGCTGACCCAGCCAAATACAAAGCAAGAGAACCTGAAATAGCTCATAAGCCATAGACTCCCCCAAAGAAGCAGCAGATCTGAGGCGGTGGAGATCATTTTCCCTTCGCAAAGAACCGATTTGTTCAACCCTTCAGCGCTCTTCCAGACCAGGCTGTGTCTGTGGCTTCTTCATCCAACTGCCTGTTGTGGCGCCTTGAGAAGGCGCCACCCTTTAAAAAGGAAAAGAAAGAGTTGGCAGGGGGTGACTGTTGGGGAGGCCAGCAGCCTGCTCTTCCCGCGGCTTGTGCCCTTCCAAGAAATCTGCTCAGAAGCCACCAGTTTCTTGCCTCTGGTGGGGAGATGTGGAGGGAATCCATCTGGGAGCCCATTTTGCCCCACGTCAAGGATTTTATCAGGAACCGAAAAAAGGGACATGGCCTCCCTGCCTCGTCAGAAGTGATAGATTCCAATGAAAACCTAGCTAGTGCTTTGGGAGCTGGTAAAAATCACAGCTTTGCAGACAACACACCTACTGTGTGCTCGGGGTCCTTTGTGGTCCAGCAGTCTGTCCCCCCCGGACTCAGGCCTGCTTCTAGGAGGCCTTTCGGGGCTGGAGTCCTTGACCGGGGCCTGGGCGATAGTCTAATTCACCTCCCCCTGCAGCCCTGACGGCCTCACCCTCTCACCGCCTGATGCCTCAACCAAGGACCCACTGGCTTTCCTTTCTCACAAGATCAAAACAAGGAAACAGACTTGCTTTGATGCTAAGAGTTAGGAAACGGGGAGCTCTCTGTGGACAGGTGGCTGGCCACGTGAGGAAGGCCAGGTGGGCTGTGTCGGAAGGGGGAGGGGGGAATTGTGCCGGTCTCGGAGCCAGCCTCGCTGTGCATGGATTCTGGGTCCGCCAGTAGGCATCGAGGGTACGGACGCTCCCCTGCCACCACAACACCCCCCCCTTCTCACCAGTGTTGCTGTTTCTTCTGTCCCTTTCCATTGAGGCTTCAAAGCCTCTCCAGAAACTGCCACTTAGAACGTTTGCTCAGCAACTTGGAAGAGAGAAAAATCTGTCTGTCACCACAGCAGGTCCGCCTCAGAAAGCCCCTCTGTCTTCTTCTCTTTCTCTCCCCTTCTAGCTGTTCACAACTTTGATCGGCACTGCCTTCTCCTGCCTTGTAAATCCATAAAAAGGCATCCGTGTTTTGCCAGAGAGGGGGACCTCCGTGGCCTGCAGTGTTATCACTGCTGTAGTTCAAATGTGGTCCCTGGTTGGTTTCTCCCTTCATCTACTTTTCTGTGAAACCTCATTTTCCTGCAACAGTGAAAGGGTGTGCTGTGTATACCCCGCATAACACTATCTCCTGGTGCTTTGCTCTGACCGTATTACACAAATATTCCATATTTATACAGCCGCTCAGAGTGGACCGTGCATCAGGCGGCCGTTGCCAGGGCAACGGTACTTTTGCCTGCGCATCGCCGAGTAAACAGTCCTATAAACAGAGCAAGGCTAGAGCAGCAGTAGACACACACTCCCTCCGAGAAGGGCTTACAGAGCTTAGAGGGGGGAATTGAAAAGGAACGCTTAGATGTGGGACAGCACAGCCCTTTTCCAGATGTTTTGAGTTCAGGACCAGTTCAGAGGACTGTCTGACATCAGGGATGCTGCTCAGGGACCGCATTGCATGGCCTCTGGGGCCGTTCTGTCTGTCACCTGCCTCCCCTCTGCTCGCCTCGCCTCACCCCAGTCCAGCCTTCTGCAAGGCCGCATCCCCACTACTGGGGCCCCACTGCCACATTGGAGCACAGCTTCCTTACAGAAGCTCAGAGAGGCAGCTGGTGGGGGACAAACCCGGGAACCAGGCTTCCTGTGTGCCTCTGACAGGGAGCGGGGAAGGCTGCCGCTGCTGGGGATGCTGGGCAGCCAGGGGTGAGCACAGCCCTGTGCAGGGGAGGGCAGGGAAGACGGAGCCAGCCCCAGAGCCTTTCCTAGACTGCACCCGGGCAGTGGCCCTCGGAGCAGAAAGGGAGCTGGGCATCAGGAGGTAATGAAAATGGGAGAAAAAGAGACGTGAGAGTAGTTGGCAAATACAGGTCTAAGCACCGTCTGCATATTAACTCACAACAACCCTAGGAAGCCAGACCTGTTGTCATCCCCATGTTGCCGCAGAGGGCACTGAGGCACAGAGAGATCAAGCCACTTGCTTAGGGTCACACAGCCATGGGCCGAGATCGGACCCTGGGCGGATGGGCTTTGGCAGCTGTGTCACAGCCGGCTGGAATGGGATGCAGCCAGGATGGGAACCTTCTTCCTCGGACTCCTCACTGACTCCTGAAGCCTCCCTCTGCAGGACTCCAGACCTCGGCCTCCCGCGCGGCCTGCCCTGCTTCCTCCCAGGAGCCTGGGGACAAAGTGTAGATGGAGCCGCAGCTCTGGGTCCCCTAACTCTGGGTCCCGTCCCTAGCCCCGCTCCGTCAGTTCTCACTCCTCCCAGGAGTGCTCTGATGCGAAGGTGTGGATTTCCACAGTGACCACTTTGCCTTCCAGTGGCCTTTGTGGCACTCCTGTCCCTCTGAAAGTCCCCTCTTCGTCCCTAGGGCCAGACTTCCAAATCAGCCGAGACACCTTAATTTGGGACAGAGCTCATAAGAGAGGTGGAGCCTTGTGCCTCTCTCTCCCTGGGCTCCAGGGACCTGAAGGTAGGGTCAGGGAGCAGAGGAGGCCAGGACAGCTGCTTGGCTTTTGCCCTTTGTTCTTGTCCTTCTCTTTAGAGGTCGTTCTCCAGTTTCTCATTTACTACCTGTCCACATGCAGCTCTCAAGGTGATTCCTGGAAGGTCCGGGCTCCGGACTGTTAGCCCCTAAAGGTGGAGGTTCAACAGTAGAACTCCATTTCTGGAAAGATTTTTATTATCAGAAATCAGGAGTCTTGCACAGGTCCCCTTCCATTCTATAGTACTTGCATGAGACTGCATCCCCCATAGGATCTCCCTATAGGAGCGGGTCCCCCCCACCGCCCCTGGCATCCAGACTTCCATCCTACCAGCTTAGCAACTGCTGTCGAAAGAGCACCTTGCTGAGATAGTGACGTAGGGAGGCGCTCTAGGGGAGTCCATGTAATTCTCCCGTTGGACTAGTGCAGGTCTTAGGTCCACTCTGAAAGCAGCCACCAGGTTGGGCAATACAGTTTTTTACTGGTCGGTACTAGGTCCAGGCATGGCTTTAGCCCTGCCCAAAGCTCATGGCCCAACGGTGGCAAGAAGTTGGTGGCCCGAAGTTGGTGGCCCACAGAGAGATTGAGGCCTGGAACCAGCAGGGGGCGGAAGAGATGCTGAGAAGCAAGAGCCCTTGGGCCTCTGGAAGGTTCCAGCAGGGCAGGTGTAACAAGATTATGCAAACCAGGGACAGCCCTTGCGTGGGGAGCAAGTGTGTTTCTTCCTTCCCTGATGACATTAAGCAAAAGGTGTGCGTGCTTATGGAGGCTGCTTTTGATGAACCACACCCAGGTTTTTCCTTACCAAGTGTTGAAATCCATTTTTTTTTTTTTTTTTGTTTTCCACTGAACTGTTAACAGTGATTTTTTTCATCTGAATGGCCCGTGGGGGTTTAGGCTTCAGGTTATCTATTCAGCCTATAAAGAGACCCTCCGATATGTCAGGCCATGTTCCTGGACGTGCCACAGAAAATGAAGGACCCTGTTGTCCTAGAGCTTCCCTTGCGGAGGGGAGAGAATTAACAAGCAAATGCACACATGTAGTCGTGTGTTGTCAAGCAGGGCTCATGCTCTGAAGAAAAATATGGCAGGTCAGGGTGAAGAGCCGTGGAGAACATGCTATCAGGCGTGTAGGGAGACTTCTCTAAGGAGTTGGCATTGGAGCAGACCCCCAGGGAGAGTGAAAAGGAAATGTTAGTTTCTCAGGAGCAAGACTTCCAGGTACAGATCCCACCCGAGATTCCTAATTGCATTGAGTGAGGCAAGTTTCTTAGCCCTCCTGTACCTCCGTTTTCCCATCTGAGAAATGGAAATCATATTAGAAACCTACCTCATACAGTGGCGGAGTTAAATGACTTTACATATATGCAGAGCACTTAAAGCAGTTCTGTATCTTGTGTTAGTAGCATTATTATAATTTTGTCTGGGAGAATCTGTCCCAGGCAGAAGGATTCATGGACAGGCCATTTTGATCTAGTTTTTTCTCTGCTCAGAGCAAATGAGTTCAGAAGCAGCTGGCTGGTAGAACAAGGGGGTTCTCATAAAGGGACGTGAATACCGTCTATGTGAGGTCCTGATTATTGATTTATAATTATTTTATTCTGTTGTATTTGGAACCCTGGGCCAAACCAGGATGCTGTGTGTCTCACATCCTAATGTGGGCCTCCGAGCTAACTTGTCAGCCTCTTTCATGTCTTTTCCATCCCTAGGGATCGACCAAGGTCAGATGACCTATGACGGCCAACACTGGCATGCCACTGAGACCTGTTTCTGCTGTGCTCACTGTAAGAAATCCCTCCTGGGGCGGCCCTTCCTCCCAAAGCAGGGCCAGATATTCTGCTCACGGGCCTGCAGTGCCGGGGAGGACCCCAATGGCTCTGACTCATCCGATTCGGCCTTTCAGAACGCCAGGGCTAAGGAGTCCCGGCGCAGTGCCAAAATCGGCAAGAACAAGGGCAAGACGGAGGAGCCCATGCTAAACCAGCACAGCCAGCTGCAGGTGAGTTCCAACCGACTATCGGCCGACGTGGACCCCCTGTCACTACAGATGGACATGCTCAGCCTGTCCAGCCAGACGCCCAGCCTCAACCGGGACCCCATTTGGCGGAGCCGGGACGAGCCCTACCATTACGGGAACAAGATGGAGCAGAACCAGTCCCAGAGTCCCCTGCAGCTTCTCAGCCAGTGCAACATCAGAACTTCCTACAGTCCGGGAGGGCAGGGGGCCGGGGCCCAGCCCGACATGTGGGCCAAGCACTTCAGCAACCCCAAAAGGAGCTCATCACTGGCCATGAAGGGGCACGGTGGCAGCTTCATGAAGGAATGCCGAGAGGACTATTACCCGGGAAGGCTGAGATCCCAGGAGAGCTACAGCGATATGTCGAGTCAGAGCTTTAGTGAGACCCGAGGCAACATCCCAGTAGCCAAATACGAGGAGGAGGAGGAGGAGGAGGAAGGGGGCATAGCCACTCAGCAGTGTCGGACCCGCCATCCCATCAGTTCCCTGAAGTACACCGAGAACATGACACCTACAGAGCAGACCCCTCCGGGCTCCATGGAGTCACTGGCCCTGTCTAATGCAACAGGTAGGTTCTGGTCACCTGGGAAACAGAACGCAAGAGGTAATGATCTCTAGGCGACCCAAGGACTTTCGTGTTGTTCCTGCCATGTGCTTTCCTCCAGCAGGGTGTCAGGGAGGGGAAGCGTGGTTTCAGATGGCTTCTGTCTTTGATCACTTTCCCTGTAAGCAGAGCCTGAGGCAGGGATGAGGATGCCTGGGACACAGTGAGGGCGGGCTCCCGGGGAAGGGGAGTCAGAGAGGCAGGCCGGCGTTGGGGGAGGAGCCAAGCAGAGAATCCTGTCTGGGCTGGCATCTGACTGCAACCTGACCCCACAGGGGGCTCTGGAGGATGGGTTGCATCGTACAGTTGGCTCCGTCTTGCGACAGGGGTGGATGGTCCCGCGTCCTGTGTATCTGTCAGTCACGGGCTTTGGGCTGCTAGAGAGTGGCTCCTGGATGAGGTTGTGGGTAGGGGCAGAAGGCATGGCAGGTGCTGTTGGCCAAGGACAGCACTCAGGAGAAGAGGCAGCTGTGAGCCAGATGCTGTCCTCGAGATACCGGGTCATGCTTGAGACAGCACGGCATCTGTGACAGCTTCTGAGGCTGTCCCAAACTGCAGTATCGCATTAGGGAGCTCATTTAAATGTGTAGATGGAGACCAAAGAAATGGGGGCAGACAGGAGAAGGGAAGTAGGCTGAAAAGGAGCAAAGGGGGAAGAGAGAGAGACCATCCAGTGTCTGCTTTCTCCAGACAAGTGGTCCAGCCCGTGGGACCTGTGGGGACGGATGTGGAAGTTCTCTAAGACGGCACTCCGCAATGTGTAGTCTGAGCGTGGAAGCTCACCGCAGTCTGCAGCGAGACAAGTACTAAAAATGACAATGTCTAGCAACTCTTGGAACGATCTGACCTTGCCACAACATCCGAGTGTGTGCCCAGCAGGCTCATCTTCCTGGTCCAGGTGTGGACCAGTCAGGGTGTCGTGGGTTGTGAGTTGTGTGTGGCATGGGCTGTGTGTCAGCCACGGTCAGGAGGGTCACATATTCTCCTACGGTGGGTCGAAAATTAAGAACGGGTCCTTCGCCATCGATAGCTGAGAAGGACGGCCCCAAGATGCGCTTCCCTTATGGCTGGAACACCCGAGGAGGGGGACGTACGCCTGCCTGCCCCTTACATCAGGGACCCCAGATGTCAGTGGGTCTTGGTGGTGCTTGTGATGAACTTGTACGTGCCAGCCCCATCCGGAGGTGACAGCCCCAGCTCAGCTCCAGCGGGTTGTTGCCGCGTGCAACGACATTTAATTATTCACCCAGCGGCGACGTAGCTCTTACCCTGTGCCAGACTGCGTTCTCCGTACTTCATAAATATTAACTCACTTAAGGAAACCCTCCCAGCCCTAGAAAATGGTTATACTATTAAGAGTCTCATGTCAGAATGGAAGAAACTGGAGCATAGAGACATTGGAGAATTTGCCCCCAAGTCATCCGGCTTTTAAAAAGGTGGAGCGGGGACTTGAACGTGTGCCTTCGACCCCCCGGGCGGTGCTGTTCATCATACCAGGTGGCCAACACTTCCAGTGCCTCCAGACGAGCTAAACGTGGGGATTTTTAAAATGGGAAATCTATTTAAACTCTGTTAGACCAGCAGAACAGGTCTCTAAGTCCTAGGAGGTCTCCGCAGGATGTTTGTAACCCTTATGCCTCTGAGATGCGTTCACGTCTATGTTCTCGTGTGTCCTAGAGGACAACTAGCAGGTATCGTTACCCTCCGGTTTCAGATGAAACAAAAACGAGGCCTTAGTGACTAAGCGCCTTACCGCATGTCGGAGAAGCGAGCAGTTAGTGCCGAGTGATGACTGCCTGGCTTTCAGCCCAGTGTGTGCTGTTCTTGAAAAATGTATATGCTATAATTATTTAAGAGGCCAGAAGATAAACAGGTAATTCAGCCTCCGAAGCAGCATTTCTCGAAGCTAGACCACGTGCATTTGACGTTGGCTGCTTGATGCAAACGTGGACTCCAGGGTGTCCCCTCAGACCTCCTGCATCAGACCCTATTGAGGGGGGGAGCCGGAACCTGTATTTCAACCAGCTCCTGCTGAAGCTGATGCAGCCACTGTCTGAGAACAGCTGTCCGTGGGCTTGTCTGACTTGATTGTCCTCATGTAATGACTTAGGAGAAAATCAGGAGATCTAGGTGTTGGGAAATATTGGAAAGGCCATGTGGTGTATGTTTGAAGAATGTACCATCTCGCATCCTAAAGAAGACACATTTATCCCCATGATTTTCTGTGGGCTCTTGGGCAAAGCACTGAATGTCCCTCTGACTCTGAGATTAGGAGAAGCCTCCCTGAACTGTGTCTGATACCGTTACAAAAAAAAAAAAAAAAAAAAAAAAAAAAAATTCCTGAAATCAGCACTGCCCCATGATGCCAGTAGCCACATGTGACTGTTGAAATTCGGATTCATGAAAATTAAATGAGATTAAAATTTCAGGCCATCAGCTGTGCTAGCCCCATTTCAAGTGCTCAAGAGCACCAAGCAGAATTTGATATTACATTTAATTTCAGTAGCCACGTGTAGCTAGCAGCCACCCTTTCTGGACAGCACAGCTGGCGGGAGGGAGCTGGTAGGATGGGCCCAGAGTTAACCCCATCCTTAGTCTCCTGGGAAGTTCTCATAGGAGCCCCAGTCTTTCAGATTGTCAATTAATGGCTTGGAAGACCAGTTCAAATCCAACCTTCATCATGGCCAAGACGGGTGGCCTTCCACAAACTGCTTATATTCTGTAAGGCTCAGTCACCTCATCTGTGGAATTTAGTGAGTAACAGGACTTCCTTCATAGTGTTTTGGGGAGAAGTCTATGATAATGCATTTAAACTCGTTAATATAGTCTTTGACACAGAGGACCTTCTACAAGGCTCACCCGATACTTTTTGCTATGATTGCATTTTCATCATTCTTATCCCAAGCATACTGGTGCACAGATTGGACCTCCACGAATGTTTTGGCTACTGACATCTCCCAGCATCCACCAGCTGCACAGGTTTGCATTTTTAGGTTTGCAGATGTTCCTGTGGGATGCTCTCCTTTTTTAAACCAGCATGCGAAGAGCATGAGAAACAGGGAACTGAAGAAATGCCTTCTGTGCCCCTGTGTTTCCATAGATCTGTCAGACACAGCCGTATGGAAGAAAGATTGCCACTCATGTTCTAAGCATTGCTTCGCCCTTGGTCACTGGAGCAAACCTTAAATAGCCTTCTAGATCCTACACTGCACACACACACGCGCGCACACACACACACACACACATGCACACATGCACCCAAGATGTGGTATTGACTAGACTTGGAAACTCGGTCGTTTTGCTGCCAAACCCCATTGTTGCATTTAAATTTTGCTAGAAAATTCCCTCGTCTTTTGAGAAGGCTGTGCTCAGAACTGTGTATCTTTAAATCCTGGAATCCCAGTCTGTGAGTAACAAGTATGGGTCATAGAAGACTTAGCCAAACACCTTAATCCTCAGGTGAAAGCTAGTTTTCTAGAGAATGGATTTTTTTTCTTCCATCGTCAATAACTCACGTTATCGAATAAGTTTGTCCTGTTTAATCTGGCATAAAGCATGATCTTGTTGTAGGCAGCATTTTTCCTTTGAACAGATCTAGAGAAACAGCCCCAGGGACTTGCCAGCCTTAGATCTGGGCTTTGCCCCATCCTGATTTGCTTAGAACCGGGAGCACATTACCCCTTGTTCCTGGAAAATACCATCCACCCGTTAGGCTCACACGGAGTGAGTCAGGTGAGCACAATCAGCCGTTGACACCAGCACTGTGTGGAGCCCTGCAGAAGCTCTCGAACCCTGTCATTGCCTACACGTGCCCGCAAAGCAGCTTGCAGCCTGGGCGACCCGAGTACTGCACCTTAGTAATAGCAGCAGCCACTGGCATTGTGTGTTGGGCACGTCCTAGGTAGATTCAAAGGGCTTTGTGGGAACTAGCTCACGATATCTCAAGGAGGTGGACCCCGCTGTTAGTCCTCTCTTATGGATGACCTAAGTGAGACCCAGAGACGCTGTGTAGCTCAAGGCCACACAGCTTGGAAGTGGAGGAGCAGGAGGCAAATGCAGGCAGTCTAGCTCCAGGCCTGTGCCCTCAACCACCGTACCATGGACTTGTGCACAGTGATGATAGTAGTAACGGGTGACAACTGTAAGACCACAGACGATGGTCTGACATGATGGTGATGTCCCAGGTAATGTCTCTCTAAATCCTCATAATGGCCCTGTGAGATAAATCTGATTATTTTGCCCATTTACAGAGAAGTATGCTCTAGTCCACAGGATTTGTGAGCTCTCCATGGTCACTACTGATGACCACTCCATGGTCACTATTGAGCCAGAATCTCAACCTGCAAGGCCCTTGCTCTCAACCTCCTTGATAGAGTCCCCACAGGAAGGGTCATGGTTACAGTCGGGATCGGGATTTCTTTTCCTCTTGCAGCCAGTCTGCTGATGTCCGTCTGGCCTGGGCAGGGCTGGACCAAAGCTGGAGAGCATGGCAGAAGGCAAAGCTGGTAGTCCGAGGTGACCTGTGTGGGTCAGGGGAACTTAAAGACAAAGGAGACAGGTGTAGACAGTCCAGGGGTGGGCGCCTGGCGGGAGGCCCCTACAGAGAGCAGGGGAAGGCTGTAGCGCAAGTCAGGGCCACCGTTCAAGTCACAGTGGAGCCAGGTGAAGAGTAGAGTTCAAATCGGGACCTGTTGCCTCAGGCAGAGGCTGCACCAAAGGACAACTGGAGATGGTTAGCTTGTCCCCAGCAAAGCGCTATGGAGCGCAGCAATGAGGCTGGGAACACAGCTCCTCCTTGAGGATCAGCCACATGCTGTGAGGAGTGGCTGGGTCAGAGAGAGCTGCGACCTAAAGGAAGGAAATACAGGTGTGGATGGGAGTAAAGAAAGGACAGTTTTTGTGCATTCATGCAGCCAGCCAGTATGACTGAGGGCCTACCCCGTGATGGGCTATAGACCAGTCTG